CTAATGTCAAACTGGAACAGCTCTTTCTGTTCTGAGAACATTGCCTTCAAAGTTGGGCTAACCAGCTCTGTCTCTCAGATTTCCCCATCATTACCATTACCATGTGGTTACTGTGAACTCTATACCAGAGTAGAATACCCATCACGAGAGGCCAGGGTCTCACATGATGTGTTGATTATCTGCCTCTTTTATTGACATAGGTGCATAGAGAACTCTGATATCGATATGATGTCATTATTGCCACCATGCCCTACTTCCAGCTACCAATGACTTAATAATAAATCCAATATTTACCTAAATACTTAATAATAAACTCCACAGGCTAGCAAGAGTGCCTTATAGCACATGGCTAATTAAGTTCCAGCTAAGCATCCTTTTGGCTCAAAAGGGTCTCCTTGTACTCTATAACCAACAAGAAATTTCACAGGACACTCTAGTGCACCCTGTTTTCAGCATTAGGAACACCCCTAGTTTATAACTGATTTGAAGTGCTGAAATGTTTGGCATACCCTTGATCTCAGCAAATTCCCCTTCCCTGGCTGAGCTAGAGATTCAGTCTGTCTGCCATTTCAACTGGTATCCATTATCTATGCCCATGAAAAGCTGAGCATTGTGAGGCATTTTCCTTTTACTTTTTCTTCTTTCATTCTTCCAATATTAGATGCAACCTTACTTATTTAAACAAAACAGATGTGTACTGTTGACTGTGTTGAAATCTTAACCTCAAAAGGTGATAGTATTAGGAAGAAGGTATTAAGAAATTGATTAAGTCATAAAGGTAGAGCCTCTTGGGGAGAGAGAAAGAGACAGAGACAGATGGTCACACAGAGAGACAGACAGACAGACAGATAGATATATGTCTGTCTAGACATATTCCTGGGGCCTCCTTGGTCACTTTAACTGTAATAAATAAACTTGTTAAATTTGTAATAACAAGGACTATTCTGTGACAGAAGTCCACATGGACTAAGTAGAGAAAATTTATCCAATTTATCTTTATTCTTCATTAATTTTATGACAGCAATAGAATTAATAGTGACTCAGCCAAATTCAATGGAGTTACATAAGAAAAAGGTAAAGATGCATCTGAGAGCACGAAAAACAATACTCTTTGTCTTTTATGGCCTGTGCCTCAAACTGCATGACTCCCTGTAATTCTAGGTTTTTAAAGACTTTCTGATCTGCCAAACAATGCTGCACATCTCCTTAATTTCTTAATTTTTCATTTCATTCTGACAACTCTGGAGGAGTCATAAAAAGCATCTTTCAATGAAGAGATTCCAAATTGGCTTCAATTGAAAAAGATTCCTCAATCTACTTGATATACTTTGAATTTATGGGCTTTGTTTAATTATTCAAACTTAACATCTCCAACAAGCCTTTTTGGCCTCAAATGATTGCCTCATGGCAAGTGAGTCCATATATCTCAGAGACATATGGCTGGAGGATCTATTTGAGTTCCCACTATGATTATGAAATCAAACCCAAGTTTCTGTGCAGATTAAATCCCAATGTTGATGTCCCAGGGAAGTCCTGTCCAGTACTGAGCAGTACCAAACTGTATCTTTGCTCCCCACTGGATCACTAAATGCCCTCCTGCCTGAAAGCACTCAGGCCTATGAGGACACGTGGGAGGGAGTACAGCTCACTGCTTCTCAGCTGGTGAGCAGCCATCTTCAGAGCTGGTCCTGATACCCACTTGCTGCCTTCATGTGATTGCAGCTGATAGCTTAGGGAACTCAGAACCATCAGATAAGCAGATCCTGAATTCCTAAGCCTGTGTGAAGCAATAAATCTATTTTTGTCTTTAATTACTAAACTTATTGCTACTTTGTTGTTCAACAATTGAAAACTAATATGCTCACATAAGAAAATTAAAATCAATAGAGAGCTGATGTTTACAAGTCCCTCAGAATCATGGATTCAAAATTGCTGTGCTTTAATTCCTGAGATATAACTGCGATTTAAAGAATTCCTGGCTTTTGAATGCTCCTTCCCTGTTTATGAGGAGGGGGAGTTACTTGGTTCTGGCAAGAGGTTTGTCCAAGACAGGCAAGACGACTACTTATTTTGCACTTCTCTCTGACATCTGGGGGTTGAACAAGTGCTCCGGGCACTTACAGATAATGAGATGAGGAAAGGTGTCCAATACAGAATGGCACCATGGCAACACTGTGATCTACAGCATTCCCTGTGGTACAGGAGTTACGGCGTTAGTACCTTTCCTCATTAGATTACTTTTTTTCTCCTCATTTCCTGAGACTGAGTTTTCAGCCACAGTGATCTGAGCTATCCCATATTCTGCAACAAACACGTTAGTCATTGAAACAAACTATTGTTGTATGCATACAGCGTCGTCATGGCAGGTCCAACAAAAGTCACATGGGAAGAATCAGAGATGTAAAAATATCTGATGTCAACAGGAAGTGACTCATTATGGCCGACTGGATCTGTTTTCTTAACTACAGTTTAATGGGCAAGTAAAAGCCGAGTTGTGATGTGGAAAGATTAAGATTAAAGGGCACAGACTCTAATAGGAAGATCATCAATGGGTGCCAGCAGCTTGGGGGTTTCAAATGTTAGTGATTTACAAGTTAAATGTCCTCGGTCTACGTGATTCCCCTTTCAGTAGCTTTATACCTAAACATGTATTTTCATACTAAAAATAATTTTAAAATCTTTTCTGAACTTCAAGAAACAGAAGTATCTAGAAAAGAAACATTAACTTTAAAGCCTTCCCAGTTAAAGAAGGAGAACAAAGAACATAGAATTAACTCTGCACACACTATAGTGTGCTTGGAATCAAAACTAGGTATAAAAGTTTATGAGCTACTCATAAATATCAGATTTTATATTGTTTTCCAAAATAAGTAAGGAGACATAGCCAATACAGATGTTGAATGTAATGCTTCATTCTTCTCCTTATATGCCTTTAATTCATTCTTAAGTTACAAACTTTCATAAGTTCTGGTATTGTTAGGCTGCTAAATGGGTCTGTAGGAAGGCCAGAAAATGGGAAGAAAAATGAAGTAAAATCACGGCTTCTTGCAGGTCATATTGGTCAGCAACATCAGTTATATTTCAGTTTTCCTTTGGTAGCCTCTAGCCCAGGGACTCTCAGCTTGAGGGCTGAATGACCTACCAGTTCACAGCTGTTACCCAAGTCCCTCAGAAATCACATTACAGTTCGTAACAGTAGCAAAATTACAGTTATGAAATAGCCAAGAAAATAATTTTATGGTTACTTCATAACATTGTATTCTTCTATAAAGTGGTGCTGACGATACTGACATCGATCTCCTGCTGCTCCCTCTTTTGCTGTTGTAAATACACTGTAGCATTTCCCTATAGTGCGTGTGAATGACTGTATACAGTTCTTATGGAAGGTGGGACTGATGGCCCATGCTTGCAAACTTCTCTCCGCTGTTTTGGCCTGCATTTTCATCAGACAAGGCTTGTCCCCTTCCTTCTCTCAACCATGAATTCCATCAAAATATTAATAGTATAATCTGATTAATGAAAACGATGTCTTTAAATTTGCCACTGCCGTGATTATTAATGTGCAGGCTAAATATCGTTTCAGATATGCTGGGCATTTATAGCTCTTATCTTGTAAAACTGTGCCTTTATAGCTTTTGTCTATTTTTGTTTGTAATGGAAAGGGATAGGCCACTTTGGCATGAGCCAGTTCCATCCCTGACAGGCAGCTAAATAGTAATGGGATTTGAGGTTTTAGCTGTAAGAGAACAGTGGAAAATGTTCCCAACAACTGACCTCCCTCACCCCTGCTAGCATGTCTGCCTTCCGCTGAACATTTTATGTTGTATGGGGAAAATGACAAAAGACAGATGCTTCTGGCTAGGCTGGGAACTGTTCAAAAAATTCCTGCTAGTCCAGAGACATTTACTGTAGCTTGTTGGAGCTGATATCATGGGCTGCTGCTTGCTTTTTCACTATCTTGTAAATTATGTTGCAATTTTCCATTCCATGGAACCGGCAGGTTGGCAGGAATGTTTCTTTAAAGATGTTATACTGCAAATGGTATCCTCAGGCTAAAAGCTGTAAAGCTGGCAATGAAAGAATTTAAGGTTTGTAAATAAACCATGAGGTCTTACAGGAAAAACAGAATACATACCTAGCCTGGTTCCTAGGTCCCTTACAACCTCATTGAGGTCTATAGACATGTTCATGTCCCTTGAAAGGCTTGACAACCACATCATATTCATCTTTCTAACAGGTTCTCTGGCTGCCCCAGAGCCTCAAGATGCTGCATGGTAGACAAGATGCTGTTCAGAATGGTGGTAAATCTCATCTTAACCACAGACCACTCTCCTCAGGAGCCCTCTGGCACTCTGTTCTCTTCTGAAGAGAAACTGGAAAGTGTGATGTACTCAAGCATTTTCATCATATTAATAGACAACAGAATATGAGCAGTCTCTCATATACAATTCTGTCTCCCAGGCAGGATCCTGTTTTTACTGGCAGGCAAATCATTCCAGCAATCTGGAATGTATTTTTTTTTCTTTCTCTAAAAGCCCTAATATTTAGTTGAACTTCACAATTTGTCCTGTTTTTGATGTATTATGTTCTGTTTACTGTTTGTGAATATGAGCCTGTGAATGCTTTCTCTCTTCATCTGGTAAGAGCTGTAGATACCCTCGATACACCAGAGCTTCCCTCTGCAATTCTGAATGCTTGCCTCTTCTCTCTTTCACAATGACTAAATTTCTGGAGCTTCAGAGTGGAAGGATATACTGGGAGTGGGATCCTGCCTGTGTTGATCTATGTGTGACCTCTCTGGGTCTTACATAGGAGGAGGAGGAATCATGAGAAAGAAAGCACTGAAATGTTTTCCTGAGAGCTTATGCAGACATGAGGACTCTTTGGAAGTTGATAAACTGGGCTGAAAGACAAGCATCCTTTGTAGGGACATTAATAACCAGATAAAGATTACCTTCAAAATACTCTCTTGAGCTGGTCGAATACTAAGAATTGTATTCCTATTTCATGGTGGGAAACCAGAACAGGGAGAAGTACTTAATCAACACTGGCATCATCAGCTCAGAGAGAAAGTCCCGCCCCTCTCTATCAGCCTCATCCATCAGACCCACTCCCTGTCGCAAAACAGTTTTGGTTCTCCAGTACATATGAGCCAGTGTTCTTGGCTCTTCGTTTGATCTGCAAATCAACCTTGGATGAACCAGTCGGAAGGTCTGGACGTTCTGTTCAGAGAACTTCATAGATTCTTCAAGATTAGCTGGCTCTGAAGAACCTTGCCTGCATTCTCAATAACTGTCTTCCATTCCCAAATGAATTCATGAAATACAAGATGCGGGAAAGGCAGTAACACAGCTTCTGTCACCCGAATGGAGATCCACCCTGACCCATGCAGCTCATCCTTTCTTTCTGCTATGCCTTTCTTCCCTGAGCTCGCCCACTGTCAGATTCTTATGCAGCTTTTAACTCAGTTTCATTGCCAGCATCCTCATTAGCAAGGCATACTCACACATTCTGTCTTTTTCACACTGTACCAGATCTCCACAGGCTCTTCTCTTGTAAAGACCTGTGCCCAGCTCTGCCCAGCTCTGCCCAGCTCTGCCCAGCTCTGCCCAGCAAGGTCTAATCAGTATAAATATTTTCTCCTCTTCTTTTCTAGGGGTTAGATCTTTCCCAAGAACTATCAGATGAGCTTGCTCAATCAGACAAGAGAGATGAAGTGGGGGGCAGCTTTGGGGTCTCATGAGTAAGATATGGTCCAAAGGAGAGATGACCAAACCTCGTCCCCTGAGAACACCATTGTCTGGATTGGCCTTAGAAAGCAGCTGCCTTCTCTTGGTGAGTAAAGCAGGGCATCTGATTTTCTTGGTGACACCCCATGACCACTGAATCTGAGAGTCTCGGTTTCCTCTTTTAGAAAATGGGGAAGTTGGCCTAATTTATCTGTAGCTTCCTTCCAGCATTAGAATACCATGTGTGCCTCTAGATATGATGAGGGAGGGCCTAAGAAGTGGAAAAAGAAAACTAATTTTATATGGAGCCATTGGCACTAACAAGCAATTTTCTCCACCTGAAGAAACGAGTACTAATCTTGACTTCACCATGAAAATAATTTTTTGATTCTTTCCCTGAAGTGTGAATATCCCCTCCCAACTCATTTGGTAAACAAAATGTTTCTACCTAAATTAAGTGAAAATATCAGTGCATGTTTAGGAACTGAAAAGGTGTTTTCCTCCTTAAGTAGAAGTTTGGTCCCACCTCTTTTTGTAGCCATCCCAGATAATACCCAAGAAAAGCTAAAGAGTTCATGAGATACAGGCTTCTCAGAAAAAAAGTACAGAAAGAAAAGCAGGATTACTTTTCCCGAAGCTAAGTCGATTTTAGTTTGTCTCAATATGTTCAAAAGGATTAAGTCAAAGCACCATCTAGTGGTCCTCAACTGTGTTGTGCTCTCATGTTCCCTCAACTTGAGACCATATTGATTTTTGTGTGTCATTATCATGTTGTGATCAGACTACCCTCCTTATTCACAAAAATAGGGACAGCATCAACCTACATATTTATCAAGGCCAATTAGGACTGTACGAGTATGTGAAAGTCAGTCAGGAAAACCAGGCCCAAGGATTTGTTGAATGTACTAGGTGAGGGGAGGTTAAAACATTGTCCCCTAGACCACATAAGGAGGGGGACACCTGACTCTGTGATGGTAGCAGCCTCACCCTCCTGTCATCCAACCACCCCATGTGTAAGTCAAGGAACCAACAAGAAGAGAATTGCTGACCGTGCCAGGGCTTCAATCGTGGCTTGGTCCTCACTGCTGGTGTGATCTCATCTACTGGCCATCAGTCCATCTACCATTTCATCTGTCTCACCATTTGCCTCTACCGCCTCCCTGCTCTGCACCTTACTTACACAGCTTGATTCAGGCAGCCGAACTCTTTCCTTACAACTTAGTTATTGGACCCTTCCTCTCTCTTAAGATGCTTCTAACAACCCTGACAGCTTCTGTCTGTGCCTCTCAGCTAGACTGCTTTTAAACTTCTTACAGACTGCCACAGATTTTTTTATTCCTTTTATGCACTTCTGTAACCTACATATGGAGATGATAGGTAGATAGATGATAGATGGATGGATACATAGAAAGAAGACAGATAAATGATAGATGCATACATATATACACATACATAAATATATAAATACATATATTTTTCCGTATGCTATATGGAAAGTATGATCTGAGAGTGACTGTTAGGGTTAAGATTAGAACAAAAGAAGCTGGGTTGTTTCAGCCAGCTGTCAAGGGAATTGGTGCTACCTGGCAAAGAGAAGAGCGTGCTTTGTGAATTTATTGTTATTTAGTAAAATCTAGTAGTGTGGAAAGACATACTCATGTTCATCAAGTTTCAGGCATGGGAACATTACAATACATAAACATGCATGAGTGCATGAGTGTGTGCATATACATGCATATATTTGTGCATATGTATGTGTGTGTGTATGTTCAACAAAAGGAAACATTTTTCACATCTGGTCTAAGGCCACATCAAAAATGGTGGCAGTGAGAGGGGAGTAGAGAAGTCACATCTGTCATTCTGATGAGTGATGAGTCTGGTTTGTTTTAATTCCTTTGTCCCCATTACTCACATACTTCCTAGGAGCCCATAGCAGTGATTATTCTCCCCAATCCCAGCACAGACAAGTCCTCAAATGTCTAGGGATCATTTAATTACCGGATTATCTTTTCACCTCCTCAGATTTCAAGTGCTTTCCCACCACAAGCCTTCCTTAACCCTACATAAGCCACAGTTCTAAAGTTGTCTGGAGATGACTGTCTATTCCATTACTACTATCTCCTGAAGCTGTTTACCTTGAAGGGAAGAACAAAAATAATCTATCACGTGCATATAAATAGAACAAAACCAACTTTGATGAAGTAAACTTCCCAGGTGACCAACTAAGCATTTCTTTTAATTAGAATTAAACTCAGCTATGTGCAAAGTAAAATCCAAAATAGCCGTGGTGTGAACACTGTAGTTTGTTCTCTCACACATTGTGACAACAAATAGATGGTGTTGAGCTGATGGGGCAAGTCTATGGCCATCAGGTCCAAGTCCTAACATTGTTTTGAGTTTTTCCACTTCAGTTACTAGCTTCCATCCTCAGGTTTACCCATGGCTCAGCTTAGCTCTAGGGCCTCCAGGAATCACACCAGTACTGCAGTTCCACAGCTTAGTTAGAAAGAAAAAAATTATATGTCCTTTCCTTTAAAGGGCTATCCTAAAAACACCACACATCTCATTTGCCAGAGCTAATGATCAGAGTTAGATGCAAGGGAAATTGAAATATTAGCTATGTCTATAATTAAAAAATTCGAGTAATGTTATTGAGCAATGTATGAGTTACTTGCAAAATTGGAGTAATGTTGTTGAAGAATATATGAGTTACTTAATTCCACAAAGATGCTATATGACAAGCAACCACAGGAACTGTATGGCAGTGACTGTTCATTTGTCAAAGATAAGCACAGGCTCATGTCTGATGATTTTGATTGATGTCTGATGAGCTTGCTGGACTGTACAAAGAGAAGCTGACTCCTGGATCCTTCAGCTGGCCTCAACAAAGAGACAAAAGTCTGAAATTACATGGATCAGCTATGCTCTATTGTCATCTGCTAGCAGTCTCAGCCTTTGATATTACCATAGGACAGAAAGTAGAAACACCCAGGACCTCTTAAGACCCGAACTCAATATTGGTACACTGCCATTTTTGTATCTCTTTATTGTCCAACTAACACCATTTGGAATGGATAAACAGGGTATATAAACTTTTTATGGAAATAATTTTGAGGTGTTCTAAAATAAAACAGAGAAACAACAACAAAAAAAAAACCAATGACTACAGAGGTGGAAAGGTGGGATGAACTTTAACCTTCTACAAAAGTGAAGAGATGCTGCTTTAAAAAGAAGAAGTTTAGTCGTGTATTCAATGATTAATACAAAAGGCAACTGTCATGCTACCTGGTAGCAAGCAAGCAAAGAAAAACGTCAGCTAGTGGCCGACTTGAAGATGTTGCTTGGCACGCCACCTGACAGTGTAACATTTATGATCACATAAAATTAATCTAGGAAGAAGAAGTTGATGGCCATTCCAGAAGGACTTGGGTGAAGAAGTCACCCATCACTGTTGTTCAACTTTGGTAAGACATTTTCTTCTCTGGACTGAGAAGTGGGGAAGGGAGAGAGTAGATGAGTCACTCATAGCATATATGATGGTAAGCACCAAGCTTTTACCTATATATTCATACAAACATGAAGACAAACAAGCATGAAAACAGCAGGAACAGGTAAGCTGGATGTCAATGAGAAACTTGATTGCAAATGGTTGTTTTCTTATATTGTGTCATCAGACTAATGGACTCCCAGAAATCTGGATTTTCATTTTCTAGAAATAAACAAAAACAAGCAACATAAAGTACAATTAATCGGGAATGAACAGAAGAACCCAGAAATTTAGAACTTGTAAACAGACTCTCATAATGTTCCAGCATCTTCATTTCTGCCACTGAATCCTAAAAGAGGAGTCTGGATAGGTTCCTCCTTAGTTATAACTGCAGCAAGGGAGAAGCTCTTACCAGAGCTGTGGGCACCTGTGCTTGGGCTCCACTATTCAAAAAAGCCTGATGCTGAAGAAGCAACCATGACAGGGCTACAGAATATGACAATTCACTGAGAACTCCAAATTTGACAATGTTTTCATTTTTCATTATTAATTACATTTTATTAACTTTATCCCAGCTGTATCCCGCTCCCTCATTCCCACCCAATCCCTCTCTCCCTCTCTCATCTCCTCCCTCCTCCTTTCCAAGTCCACTGATAGGGGAGGTCCTCCTCCCCTTTCATCTGACCCTGTTTTATCAGGTGTCTTCAGGACTGGCTGCAAAGTCCTCCTCTGTGGCCTAGCAGAACTGCTTCTCCCTTGGGGAGTGGGGAGGTCAAAGAGCCTGCCATTGAGTTCATGTCAGAAATAGTCCCTGTTCCCCTTACTAGGGTACCCACTCGGATACTGAGCTACCATGGTCTATATCCAAGCAGGGGTTCTAGGTTATATCCATACATGGTCCTTGGTTGGAGAATCAATCTCATTTAAGACCCCTGTGCCCAGATATATTTGGTCCTTGTGGCGCTCCTATCCTCTCCAGGTCATATTAACTTCCCCTTCTTTCATATGATTCCCTGCACTCTGCCGAAGTTTTGGATATGAGTCTCAGTATCTGCTTTGATACACTGCTAGGTAGAGTCTTTCAGAGGCCCTCTGTGGTAGGCTCCTGTCCTGTTATTTGTTTGCTCCTACATCCAATGCCCATCCCACTGGTCTTTCTAAGTGAGGATTGATCATCTTACCCCGGTCCTCTTTCTTGTTTATCATCTTTAGATGTATAGATTTCATTATGTTTATCATATCTTATAGGTCTAAATAAGTGAATATATACCATGTGTGACTTTCTCCTTCTGGGATACCTCACTCAGAATGATCTTTTCTAGATCCCACTATTTGCCTGAAATTTTCATGATTTCCTCATTTTTAATTGCTGAGTAGTATTCCATTGTGTAAAAATACCACAATTTCTGTATCCATTCCTCAGTTGAGGGACATATGGGTTGTTTCCAGGTTCTGGCTATTACAAATAAAGCTGCTACAAACATGGTTGAGCAAATATCCTTGTTGTGTACCTGAGCAAATTTTGATATACGCCTAGGAGTGGTATGGCTGGATCCTGAGGTAGCACTATTTCTAATTATCTGAGAAAGCGCCAAACTGATTTCCCAAGTGGTTGTACCAGTTTACATTCCCACAATGGAGAAAGGTTCTCCTTTCTCCACAACCTCTCCAGCATGTGTTGTCATTTGAGTTTTTGATATTAGTCATTTTGATGGGTATAAGGTGAAATCTCAGGGTCGTTTTGATTTGCATCTTAACATTTCAGCTTTCAGTTCTTACCTGAAATAATTTCTCTTCTGGAAGAAAGCAAATGCTATGTTGAGCAGAACAATCCCCAAGAGGCCACATTTCACATAAAGAATGGTCAGCAAGGAATGCAGGGTACCAGCAGTACCTTTAAATAGAGGAAAGGGTAGAAAGTCAGGTCAGTTTGATAATAGTTCTAAACAATAAATTAGAGGCAAATAGCTTTAAAATCATTAAAAATAGTCGTAAAGTTTTAGAGAATGTAAAAATGTATAATTCAAATACAACTCATGTCCCATTTCAGGGTCAAGTTCAGGAATCATGTCCTGCTTCTAAGCTTGATAGGCAACAACAAATATTTTTAAATGACCAAATGCACACTGAGTATTGGTAATACTTTCCAGTTTTATAAGGGGAAAATTCCCATGAAAATTTTATTTTCATGAAAATATAATGGCATCGCTTCCGTCCATTTCTCTTTCTTCTTCTTACCTCCTCCAGGTGTGCCCACCTCCCAATACTCTCAAATTCTAGCCTCTTCCTTTTAAATTGTTATCGTTACATATTTATACATAAGATATAAATACAATCTGCTGAGTCCATTCCGTTTCTCTCCATGCCCATGATTTCAGTCCCACTCCTTGATATTGGATAACCAGTTAGGGCTCTCCCTGAGGACAGACTATTGGCCCACTCTCAGCACTCCTTAACTGTTTGTAAACTGTAGTTCGTTGTCTAGGACTGAGGTCCCATGAGATTTCCATTCCATATTTGCTTATCAACTGTTCAGGTCTTATTTAGGAAGCCATATTATTGAGGTTTCATGAGCAGAGCTTCTCTGTCATTTCTAGGAGACACAATCTTACAACAGATGTCCTGGTTCTCGGTTCTTAGAATGTTTCTGTCCCCTCTTCTACAATGTTTCCTGAGTATTAGATGTAGGAATTGTGCTCTCGCTGTATTCACGGGACAAACCATCCCACAATCAGGGTTCTCTGCATTTTACGATTTGTACCTTTTCATGACAGTTTCTATTGCAAAGAGACGCTTCTTTGGTAAGAGTCACACTTATTGGTAGGCATAAGGGTATTTAGAATTTATATAAGCATTATACTTTTTTAGTGAAGGGCTGTGGTAGGTTCCTCTCTAACATCAATGACCTCAATAACTTTGATTAGTTAGCTAGCTTTCCAGTACCAGCCATGAGTTTTCTCCTCTTGAGTGGGCTTTACATATCACTGGACAGCTAATGGTTGCTGCCAAGATATGATTGCCACTTAAGGACAAGCCTTGCTATGGTTCACAAGCTTCAGACCTAGGTGGTACTAACAGTTGCCTCCCTTTGGGGCAGCTTGCACAGCACCTTTGGCTACTATGAAAGTTAGTGCTTTGAGAGGAGTGTTTTGGGTCAAATCCAGCTTAACTCCTCGAAGTTTTCTATCTGAAGTGCATCCCATGCAAATTTTAGTCTTTTGAAAGGCATTACTCTTTTTCATTTAAAACATATGAGAATTTTATATAATGTATTTTGTGTTCTCTTCAAACTCCTCCTTATAACTCCTACCTGATCCATATCCCCACTTTATCACCCCACCAACTTTGTGTCTTTTTTGTTCATTTGTTTTAAAACCCCAATGGCTTCAGTTTATGTAGCCCATAAACTCCTGGGTTGGTGGCTACAAGGAGCAATGCCCTTAAAGATAACTGACACTCTCTCCTCAAGAAACCATTAACTATCCCTAACTCCTTCATTGGAAAGGCATTGGATTGATCTTGTGCAGGTATGTGTTACCTCCTGTGGCCTTAAATCCCAGAAGTAATTGGTGGCCTCTCCAATGTTCATTTCATTATTGTAGCCATGGGCATAGCTATGAGGACTAGAGTGTCCACAAATACGGATGGGCATATTTTCTCTGTAATTAGAGTACTTCAGTATATTCCCAAGAGTGGAAGAATTTGGTCATATAGTACATCTGTTTCTAGTTTTCTAAAGGATCAGCCACATTGACCTCCACAGTGGCTACATAAATTGTACACTCAACAAAAATGCATGAAGGTTCCCCACTCCCCACATCCATTGACTTTTATTTTCTTAATATTAGCCATTTATTTCTTGATAGTAACCATTCTGATTCGATTACAATACAAATCTCAAAAAGTATGAATTTGCATTACTCTGATGGTTAAGGATGGTAAACAGTTTTTAACATGTTTCTTACACATTTTTATTTCTCCTTCTGAGAACTCTATATTCCATTCCCTTACTTGCTTTTCAATTTGGTTGTTTTTCCTAGTGCTTAGGATTTTGAATGCCTTGCATATTTTAGATATTAATCCTCTCTCAAGTCTGTAGATTGCAAAGATTTGTTCCACCCTGTAGACTGTATCTTCAGTCAGTTAAGAGAAACATTTTAATCTCATAAAATCTCATGCAGCTTCTTCTTTTTTTCTTTGTGCTACTTTTTTAATTCTTTGTGGTTTCTTATCCCAACTGTCTCCTAACCCTACACCCTGACCCTAGTTTTCTGTCACCTGGATCACCTCTTTCAGCCTCTGCTGGCTTTTTATATTCTCTCCTGTTTCCACAAGTCTAAGAGATTAGTGACACTGATGGTCATAGGGTCAAGCAGTTCTAAGCATTCCCAAAGGGCCAGTTCACTAGCAAGTGGGATCCTTTAAAGGGCCAGGCACAGAACATAAATCACTCTACAGTTCCTAATGCTGAGTTTTTATCTTATTTCCTGAGCAACCAGAGTTCTATTCAGAAAGTCATTATCTGAGCCTATATGCTGAGTGTACTCAGTGTACTTTCTGCTCTTTTTATGGAAGTTTTAGAGTTACAGATCTAACATAGAGATATTTGGTCTTTCTGGAATGTATTTGTGTACAAAGAGATGAAATCAAGTTTCATTCTTTTATATTTAGATATCCAGTTTCCCAATACCATCTACTAGATATGCTATCTTTCCTCAGTGAATATTTTTAGAATATTTATAAAATATTGGGCCCTCGATTCTGTTCCATTGATCAATATGTCTGTTATTTTGCTGATGCCACTCTGGTTTTACTACTTTACCTGCACAACACAAATCCTAATTGAGTCTCTTGATACTTCCAGTGGTGTTTTCCTTCTCAACATTATTTTACATGCCTTAAACAACATCAAACAGTGCTAACTGAGGAAGCCATTCTCTAAAACATCTGAAGAATGAGAACAGTTACTCAGCACTTGCTGAGTGTCAGGAGGAAGTGGGATGAAGGTAGCACCTTGCTGGCCTACTAGCTGTAAGAGACTAGGGGAAGAGGACTTTTCAGGGGAGGGGGAAAGGGGCAACATGAAAAACCATCTCAGAATGGATTAACCTGAATTCTGTTTGGAACACAGAAACTGAAATACAGAATTCAGGTCTATGATGATCACAACCTATTCACAAGTTCTAGGAGAGCTGGAACTATATAGAAAGACCCTATCTCAAAATAATTTTTAAATTAAAAGTAAAAAAAGACATACGTGGTACTTGTGTTCCATCTCGTGAAATACAGCACCTAAAAATTGCCACCATATCAAAAATATCTTCAGTATGCCAGTAAAAAGGCTGGTGCCTAGAAGCTCCTAGAGAGCTTCATGGTGGGTGCCACCACCAGAAAGATGAAACTGTGACCTGGATCCTGATACTACTACCATCACCACCACCAAACCTCTTGTGAAGGAAAAAAGGCTGAAGATTGAGTTAATCACCAATGATCAATGATTAACTATGTGACAAAATCTTAATAGAAATCCTAATTAACACATTTTGAAAAGTCTTTGTATAAGGAAAACATCAAAGAAGTCAGAGAATAGCAATTCTTGTGATGGCATGAAGCTCAATGCTCCTTCCTCCAAAAAGGGCCCCATGAATCTCTTTGATTTGTCTATGTCTTGCAGTCTTTATAATAAACAAGTATAGTAAGGAAGGTGCCTTTCTCAGTTCTGTGAACACTCTAGCAAATCACTGAAACTTATACATGGATTATGAAAACTTCTCGAATTTATATTTAATTGCTTAGAAGTTCAGGTGATAACTAAAAACTTGTTATTAGTATTTGAAGTGGGTCTGTTGTCCTAGCTAACTTTAACTCTCAATTTGACACAGCGTGGAGCCACCTGAGAGGTTATAGGCTGAACTATGGGTGAACTATGAATGGCACCAATCCCTACACAGGTAAGATAGTTTAGCATGGGTCTGAGGAGCTAGCAAGCAGCTTCATGGCTTCAGATTGAGTTATTGATTGACTTTCCTCTTTAAACCCCTAAGTAGATTTTGGCCACAATATTTGTCACAAACAGAATAAAATTAGAACATTTGTCTTTCATGAAAGAATGAGTTAAATATTAATTATTTGCCATTCTGAATGAGATTTAAGCATGCTCCCTAGGGTCCTCCTTAGTGTTTAGCTTCTCTAGGTCTGTAGATGGCTATCCTATATTATACGGCTAATACCACTTACAAGTGAGTGTATGCCTTGCCTGTCTTTCTGTTTCAGGGTTCTCTCACTCAGGATGATCTCTTCTAGTTCTATCCATTTGCCTGCAAATTTCATGATTTCCTTGTTTTCAATAGCTGTGTAGTATTCCATTGCATAGATGTACCACAATTTCTGTATCCATTCCTCCATTGAAGGGCATCTAGGTTGTTTCCAGCTTCTGGCTATTACAAATAAAGCTACTATGAACATAGTTGAACAAATGTCCTTATTGAATGGTGGGGCATCTTTTGGGTATATGCCTGGGAGTGGTTTAGCTGGATCTTGAGGTAGTGCAATTCCCAATTTTCTGATTTCCAAAGTGGTTGTACAAGATTGCACTTCCACCAGCAATGGAGAAGAGTTCTTCTTTCTCCACCTCCTCTCCAGTATGTGTTGTCACTTACTGGAGTTTTTGATCTTAGCCAACCTGATTGGTGTAAGATGGAGTCTCAGAGTTGTTTTGATTTGCATTTATGTGATGACTAAGGATACTGAGCACTTCTTTAAGTGTTTCTCTGCCATTTAATATTCCTCTGTTGAGAATTCTCTGCTTAGCTCTGTACCCCATTTTGTAATTTGATTATTTGGTTTGTTGGTGCCAAATTTCTTGAGTTTTTTATGTATTCTGGATATTAGCCCTCTATCAGATATAAAATTGGTAAAGATCTTTTCCCATTCTGTAGGCTGTCATTTTGTTCTGTCGACAGAGACACCAGAGGCAGTGGAAGAGAGGAAACAGGATGGGAACCCACTCTAGAGGGTCTTCTGAGAGGATCCATCCAACAGGGAATCAAAGCCGAACCTTGGGCAGAGCACAGGGAGTCTTATGAAGAAGAGAGGGATAAGGACAGAGGAACATGGAGGGGACAGGAACCCAACAAGGAGCCTAACAAAGCTAAAAGATCTGAGCCCAGGAGGTCCTGCAGAGACTGATACACCAACGGAGGACCATGCATGGAGAGGACCTAGACCCCCCCCCCCCCCCCGCTCAGATGTGACCTTTTGGCAGCTCGGTCTCCATGTGGATCTCTGAGTGAGGGGAGCAAGGGCTACCTCTGTCATGAACTCAATTGACTGCTCATTGCTCACTTGACCCTGGTGATACAGCTTCTACAAGCCATGAAGGAAGAGGATCCATTCTTCCTCCTGATTAGACTTAACAAGCTATGGACAGACAGCAATGGTGGAGAACTCCCCCTTTCATGGACTAGGGGAAGCAAATGAGGGGAAAGAGGGACAGAGGGTAGGATTGGGGAGAGGTGAGGGAGGAGGCTTCAGTTGGGATATATAATGAATAAATTGTGAAGAAAATATTAAAATTAAAATTAAAAAGGAAAATAAATGTTAATTATTTCTTTTTTTATGTAGCACAGTTTCTTTATTCATTCTTTCATTGAGAGACATCTGGGTTGATTCCAGTTTCTGGATATTATGAATAAAACCACTATGAACATAGTTGAGCAAATGTCATTTTTACATAATGGAGCATCATTTGGGCATATGCCCCATAGTGGTAAAGATGGGTCTTGAGGTTCCCAACTTTCTGAAAAGTACCAGGTTGATTTCCAAACTGATTGTACAAGCTTGCACTCCCAGGAGCAATGGAGGACTATCCCCCTTTCTCCACAACCTCTCCAGCATGTTATGTCACTTGGGTTTTTGACCTTAGCCATTTTGATAGGTGTAAGATGGAATCTCAGAGTCGTTTTGATTAAAAATGGTGCTGGTCTAACTGGATATCACAGAAACTCTGTCTTCCACTTTCAAAGGCCCCTGAGGACCATGTTTCCTCTGAAATAATGTGCTCTGAGACCATCTGTGCTCATGCAGCAGGAAATTTACCTCCCAGCTATAGAAAAATGCAGTCAGTCTAACCTGTGATTAAAATCTCACATAGAGTTTCATGAAGTCATTATGGTAATACATTCTAGAAACCTTGGTGATGTAATTCAAAATAAATGTATTTTACTCTCTCACAGTGTTCTCTGATTTGAAGCACCACCACTATAGTCTCTGCTCCATCTTACTTGCCTTCTGCTGCTCTGCATTCATCATCTTTGTTTTCATGAATCAAACAGTTCCCAGAATTCCTGGATAATCCTGGTTGACTTCCTCATTGCAAGGCCCTTGACATAAGGATTTCTTGTAAGACAGTCTGAATAATGTCACATGCACAAGCTGCACGAGCTTCATGTGAACATCTATTTCTTTTTTTCATTTTAATTTTTTTTAATATTAGTTACAGTTTGTTAACTTTGTATCCCTGTTGTATCCCACTCCCTCTTTCCCTCCCAATCCCACCCTCCCACTCTCATCTCCTCTCTGCCCCTTTCCAAGTCCACTGATTGGGAAGGACCTCCTCCCCTTCCATATGACCCTGTTTTATCAAGTAACTTCAGGACTGGCTGCAAAGTCCTCCTCTGTGGCCTAGCAAGGCTGCTTCTCCAGGTGTGTGTGGGGGGGGTCAAAGAGACTGCCATCGAGGTCATGTCAGAAACAGTCCCTGTTCCCCTTATTAGGGTACCCACTTGGATACTGAGCTACCAAGGGCTATATCTGAGCAGGGGCTCTAAGTTGCATCCATACCTGGTCCTTGTTTGGAGAAACAGTCTCATAAAAGACCCCTGTGGCCAGATATATTTGGTCTTTGTGGAAATCTTGTCCTCTCCAGGTCGTATTAACTCTCCCCCTCCTTTTTTTTTTTTTTTTTTTTTTTTTTTTGGTTTCCTGCATTCTGCTGGAGATTTGGTTATAAGTCTTAATATCTGTTTTGATACACTGCTAGGTAGAGTCTTTCAGAGGCCCTCTGTGGTAGGCTCCTGTCTTGTTACTTGTTTGCTCCTACATCCAATGTCCATCCCATTTGTCTTTCTAAGTGAGGATTGATCATTGTACCCTGGGTCCTCTTTCTTGTTTATCTTCTTTAGGTGTATAGATTTCAGTATATTTATCCTATCTTATAGGACTATATGAGTGAGTGTATACCATTTGGGTCTTTCTGTTTTGGGGATACCTCACTCAGAATGATCCTTTTTAGGTCCCACCATTTGCCTGCAAATTTCATGATTTCCTCGTTTTTAATTGCTGAGTAGTATTCCATTGTGTAAAAGTTCCACAATTTCTGTATCCATTCCTCAACTGAGGGACATCTGGGTTGTTTCCAGGTTCTGGTTATTATGAATAAAGCTGCTACAAACATGGTTGAGCAAATGTCCTTGTTGTGTACTTGAGCCTCTTTTGGATATATGCCTAGGAGTGGTATAGCTGGATCTTGAGGAAGCACTATTCCTAATTGTCTGAGAAAGTGCCAGATTGATTTCCAAAGTGGTTGTACAAGTTTGCATTCCCACCAGCAATGGAGGAGGGTTCCCCTTTCTCCACAACCTCTCCAGCATGTGTTGTCAATTGAGTTTTTGATCTTAGCCATTCTGGTGGATGTCAGGTGAAATCTCAGGGTCGTTTTGATTTGCATCTCTCTGATGGCTAAGGACATTGAGCATTTCTTTAAGTGTTTCTCTGCCATTCTGTATTTCTCTACTGAGAATTCTCTGTTTAGCTCTGTACCCCATTTTTTTTAATTGGATTGCTTGGTTTGCTGCTTTTTAACTTCTTTAGTTCTTTATATATTTTGGATATCAGCCTTCTGTCAGATGTAGGTTTGGTGAAGATCCTTTCCCAGTCAGTAGGCTGTCGTTTTGTTTTGATGACTATGTCCTTCGCTTTACAGAAGCTTTTCAGCTTCATAAGGTCCCATTTATTGATTGTTGCTCTTAGAGCCTGTGCTGTTGGTGTTCTGTTCAGGAAGTTGTCTCTTGTGCCAATGATTTCCAATGTCTTACCCACTTTTTTCTTCTAACCAATTTAGTGTATCAGGTTTTATGTTGATATCTTTGATCCACTTGGACTTTAGTTTTGTGCAGGGTAATAAATATGGATCAATTTTCATTTTTCTGCATATAGACATCCAGTTGGACCAGCACCATTGTTGAAGATGCTGTCTTTTTTCCACTGAATGGTTTTGGCTTCTTTGTCAAAAAACAAATATCCATAGGTATGTGGGTTTATTTTGGGTCTCCTATTGGGTTCCATTGATCCATGATTCCATGCCGTTTTTATTACTATTGCTTTGTAGTACAGCTTGAGATCAGGGATGGAGATGTTAATTATTTCTTAAAAACAAACAAACAACATATAATGATACTCACCACCTCTATTCAGTTCTATGGACAGAGTCCGGTTGCCAGTCGAATGGGAGACAGAGCAGACCACAGCAGACACATTGTTCTGCTCCCAGTGGCATGTGCTCCTGACAGTCACGGTGCCATTGCTGTGTGGTTCACTCTTAGTGGCACAATCCCCATCTGGAGTCCAGAAGATCTGCGCAGCCGGCTTGCCTGCACTTGCCTCGCACACTGCAGTTCTATTTTCACCTGAAAATAGGGTTACTTCAGGGGGGACTGTAGAGATAGAAGGGGGAAAAATATTAAGTTGTGTAACAAATTACAAAGGCATTTGTTTCTATCTAAAATCTGGTGACCTGAAATACCACACTATGTGTCATTGTCACTTACCTAGCACTTGGAGGTCATGTCCTTTTTGGCAATAACATTCACTTGCTGCTATCTCACATGAGTAATATCCAGCATGCTCGAGGGCCACTGTGGTGATCTGCAGGTCAGGACTCAGGTCAGGTGTGGAGGCCCAGGTGATTCTCCTGTCAGTACAGTTGTTTTCCCTGGTCTCCTTTGTGTCTGCTTTGTAGGCTATTATGCAGACAGGTCCGCCTCTGGGGGTTATCACCCATGTGATTACTAATGCCTTTGTCAGTGTAACAGGAGGGCAGCTCAGCAGAACCTTCTTACCCATCTGTACAGACACTGTAGTGTTAACTGGACACACACACAGAGAATAAGAAAAGGAAACCTTGTGTGTTAAGTTTATCCACAGTAGCTCATGTGAAATTACACTATAACACTGGTTTGCTGATGAATATATTCCAGAAATATTAGATTTTTCTCACATTTATTTATGTTCCATTCATCAGAATTAAATACATTATTCATCTCCTACAAATTCAAAGCCTGTAGGTTACATACATCTTGTACCATAAAACCTCACTTTGCCTGTACACTGACTGAAAGAGTCTATGATGGATACAAGTTTGCTGAGTAGTGATTACTCAACAACATTATCTGTTACAATCACCTGTGACCAAAGTCAATGACGTCATCACCTTAACAGGAGCAGAAATCGCTGTGAATAAGCCTTGCTTACCATCAACTATCTCAACTCTCCTATTTCAATGTCACTTGCCACTTTGGAGTACTCAAGTCCTCCCAAGTCACATCCAAATGAAGGTTATTTAATTAGGTGAGGAAAGAAATTCTTCAACACAGACCTAGGAGTATACTAATCCCACAGTCTTTCCAACACTGTAAGATGGCAAAGGTTTAGAGGCAAGAGTTCATAGGCCCTCAACACATAACACTCACATCACCAGATTCTCCTCCTCATCCTAAATCTGTCCAGCAGACAAGGAATTAATTTCTGTATGTAAACAAGGTCAACTTTCCATTCCCACAGTGATGGCCACAATATAAGGAAGAATATTACCTTCTGTGATAGGGAATGAACTCTTCTGTGTTGTTTGAATCATATCCATACAATGTGACTCTAGAAAAACATTTAAATAAGAGTGTTTAAATACTTAAATGATTGTAAGACTGTACTTTGAAGTTGCATTACCACTGATATATCAATATCTTGAAAATTACAGTTATAAGATATTAATCAATTATTTCCCACTTATGAGTGGCTTTATTTGGCCAAATAGTTTGTGGAGCAACTCTGCCTTCCTTCATCCAGCCCCTTGCCATGTTCAGTGTAAGCCCAAGGATTTGAAGTTTACAAAATTAGTAGCCAATCAAGTTCAAAAGCTTAAAAAAAAATTGCACAACATGACCGCTGGGATATATCTCAGGCTTGCAAGGCTGGTTCAACATATAGGGACCCATCACACCAACAGGCTAAGGAGAAAAGTCATATGATTATTATCGATAGACACCAAAGAAACATTTGATGCATCCTACACTCACCCATGAAAAACTCTCAATAAATTATTCAATTACATTAAAACCAGTTTGAAAAACTAGAAGGATTATTTGAATAAACACTGCACAAGAATAATGATAGTTGAGTGGCCAGTGGACACATGGAAAGGATTAGTGACTATAAAGGAACGCCAACCAAGAACTCAGCACAGTCATCACTCCTACCTAGAAGCCTAAACAAAATGAAAATGACGGTGGCACGTGCGTGAGTGTGGAGTGGTGGCAGTGTCGGCTCTCAGCAACCTGTGCAGATCTGTGTATGTGGGACCTGGGATGTGAGGGCCCTAAAAAACTGGGGAGGACTATAGTTTAGTGCTGTAGACAACATGACTTCAGTTTCAGTGTAGTTTTATACATGAATGTAACAAAGGAAGCAATGATCCAAGGAAGGCTGAGTTCAGAAAACAAACAAACAAACAAATGAACAGGTAAACAAACACCAGTAAACACATAGTAAATATCAACAGAACACCTTTCCCAGAATTTTTTTCTCAGGACAGACCAATTTTAAAACCATTGCCTGGCACATACTACAAAATATATCTGGAAAGCACAAAAGCAAGGCAAAAGGCCAGATCTAGATTCAGGGTGCACTTGGCACAGCACCCAGCATGTCCTTTCACCAGACTATTCTGACACCCAACAAGAATAAAATGTTCAACACAGGAGGCACAAATCACATTCAAGATCAATCCAGGGAACAAAATGCTTCTGAGGTAAAAGGCCCTCTGCCTTTTCTTTCTTTTTTTTTTTTGTGAAGCCTCTCACAGTTCCCCCAAGGCATTCCTCACCATTTGTCATTCTTTTGACAGTGTTCCCACAGATAGCATCACTAGTAATAACGTAAAATACCATATAATTACAGCAAAGACTTCTGGACACAAAATACTATCTGCATACAACAGGGGAGGAGAAACAAAGGAGAAGGGGTACTAGAGTCAATATTAATAACAGAAAAATTCTTAAAATAAAACAATGTTACTAGTGATTTTAAAATCTGTACAATGTTAATTGTCATAATTAAGTATATACCTAGTAAAGGAGCTTCAAACTATATAAAACAAAATTTAAATAAATTAAGGAGACAGAGCAGTTTTACAATCAGATGTTTTGACACACCTTCCTTAGAAATAAACAGAGCATTAAGGACTTTAAAATGTAGTATACACATAGACTATATTTAATAACAATATTAATTACAGTGACAAAAGACTTTCATAAGATAGTTCCAATGTATCTAATATGTATTTTTTTTTCAAGTGTCCTAGGTACATTTATCAAAGTTCATTATGTGCTGGATAACAGAACAAATCTCTACATTAACAATATTAGGGGGCCAGCAAGATGTCTCAGCAAGTAATGTGGCCAAGACACGTGGCCAAGCCTGAGGACATGAGTTTGAACCCTGTGACAGACATTGAAAAATATAGCAACTCCTACAGTTGTCCTCTGACCCCCACACAATGCAGTGTCATGGGTGCTTTCACACACACACACACACACACTAAATGAGTTTGTATATAGTTTTTTTTTTTAAATAAGAGAGGTGAGGGGGCGGGGCAAGATGGCGGCGGCGGGAGGACTCTCATTCTGAGGAGCAACACAGCAGGATTGGCACAGTGACCAGCAATCAGAACTCGCGGCCATAAAACACAAGTGACTGTGTTTCACAGGTGAGAGGATACCTCACGGTGGGGGATTCAATCAGCTTTAACTCACCCGGCTAAACCTCGGAAGAGATCCCGGTTCCGCCAGGCGCTTGGTCGCCAGCCCAGAGCTACACGCCAGCGCGATCTGGTCACGGTCCCAGACTGAACTGTGGGCCCACAACACCATAGACTGGATTTCCCAGTAGAGAGATAACCCCACAGAGCAGGAAACAATTGGGACCGACTTCAGGTTACCCAGACATTCCCTGAAAAAGACTCGGGTTCTGCAGGTGCCCCAGGAGCCAGCCAGGAGCCAGAGCCGGGACACAGGCGCCTGCACGGAGCCCTGCCTGCGCACCTGATTCGCCGCCTCAGATAGAACTGTGGGCACCAGGGCACCAGACTGCGTGTCTCTGGCAGAAGGAAACCCCCAGCGGAGGGGGTCAGCAGCTCTAATGCTTAGGACACCCAGCACAAAACACTTCATGGATTCTCGCAGACTCTAGTGTAGGCAGGAGCGCTGTGTTCTGCCACCATTATTGAGTTCCCCTAGGGCACTGGGACACACAGCTGCATCCTCAGACCTACAAAAGCCAGAGAGCCATTACAGCAGCGCTCAGATACTGTGCCAAGGATCAACCAGTTATCCATAGCTAGACTGTCAAAACTGTGGGAATCCCTGGTCCTTCAAGAGGGCTGCACCCACAGTGTCTGGACCAGAGCAGTGCCTGCAGCTGCCATCCCAGACAGAGACACACAGCTTCTGGTCCAGAGTGAGGCACCCAGCCTCCAGACCAGAACAGTGCCCCCAGGCGCCAACTCAACCTAGGTGCACATTCTCCAGGTCCAGAGCAGAGCAATCAGCCTCTGGCCCAGAGACTTGCTGAGTGCACCTCCCACTTTCCCGGACAGAACTGTGCGCCCCAGGATAACAGACTGAGTTTCCATGTTGGGAGAAAACGCCACAGCTAGGGAATCAGCAGTTTCTTCAAGAGGACTGTACATGGAAACTTAGTGAGCAGCAGCACACTAAATTTATAACAAGAAACCCAGCAGTGGGGCAGCTGTCTTGAGAAATTCTATGGGTAAGAGGAGATCCCCCCCCTGCCAAACATAGACCATAGCTACTACTCAGGGCTATAAACCTGAGGTGAGCAGTGGCAACTCCTGAGAAACACTGGCCATACAGTGAACATAACCAAAAAGCAGAGAAGGACTCCTTCAGGAAAAATCATCTTCCGGCCAAGGGGATACTCCCTACCTCAGGACTCCAGGAAGCACAGAAACTAACAGCCAACACCTAAATCAGCTCAATGGGTAGAGGTCAGCGTAAAGGCTCAACCAACAAAAGACAGAGCAATATGGCATCTCCAGAACCCAGCCATCCAGGGGCGAACAGCCCTGAACAATGCAGCATAATAGAAAATCAAGAAGATGACCTTACATCTATGTTGATGAAGAGGATAATAGAGGAAACAAATAAAATACGTAAAGAATTAGAGGAAGATAAAACCAAACAGATCATGGCTATCCGTAAAGAAATGGAGGAAGATAAAGACAAGCAGATTAGGGCCATTCGTGAAGAAATACGGATGCAGCCAAACAGCTTGTGGCCTTCAGAGAAAAAATAATTAAATCACTGAAAGAAATAAAAGAGACAGAGTTGAAGGAACTAAAAGAAAAAGAGAAAAATACAAGCAGACAGGTGAAGAAAGTAAACAAAACAACTCAAGTCCTGAAGATAGAACTAGAAAAATTAAAGAAAACACAAATGGAGGAAATAATGGAGAGGAAGAATTTAGGGAAGAAAACAGGAACTACAGAGGTAAGCATAACCAACAGACTACAAGAGATGAAAGAAAGATTCTCAGGTGTAGAAGATACAATGGAAGAAATCGACAGATCTGTCAAAGAAAATGTTAAATCCAAAAAATTCCTGACACAGACCGTCCAAGAAATCCAAGACAATATGAAAAGACAAAATCTAAGAATAATAGAAATAGAGGAAAAAGAAGACTCCCTTCTCCAAGGCCCAGAAAATATTTTCAACAAAATCATTGAAGAAAATTTCCCCAAGTTAAAGGAGAAGCCAATAAGGATACATGAGGCCTATAGAACACCCAACAAATTTAACCAGAAAAGAAAATACTCCCGCCACATAATAATCAAAACAGTAAGTATACAGAACAAAGAAAAACTACTAAAAGCTGCAAGGGAAAAAGGCCAAGTAACATATAACGGCAAACCCATTAGAATCACACCTGACTTTTCAACAAAAACTATGAAAGCCAGAAGGGCCTGGACAGATATCATGCAGACCCTAAGAGAACACAGATGTCAACCCAGGCTACTATACCCTGCAAAACTCTCAGTCCTCATAGACGGAGAAAACAAGATATTCAATGACAAAAACAAATTTCAACAATACCTACACACAAATCCAGCATCACAGAAGACACTGGAAGGTAAAATACAACCCAAGAAAATTAGCTTCTGTCAAGAAAACACAGGAAATAATTAACCTTACTACAGCAAAACAAAAAGCAACCAAGCACACAACCTTATGAACACAGCCAACATCAATATCAAAGGATCTAACAGCCACTGGTCATTAATCTCTCTCAACATCGATGGACTCAACTCTCCAGTAAAAAGACACAGATTAACAGAATGGATACGTAAACAAAACCCAGCAATCTGTTGCATACAAGAAACACACCTAAAACACAAAGATAGACATTACCTGAGGGTAAAAGGTTGGAAGACGACTTTCCAAGCAAATGGACCCAAGAAACAAGCAGGAGTAGCCATTCTAATATCTAATAAAATAGACTTTCAACCAAAATTAATAAAAAGAGATGAGGAAGGACACTTCATACTCATCAAGGGAAAATTCCACCAGAAAGACATCACAATCCTGAACATCTATGCCCCAAATACAAGAGCACCCACATTTGTAAAAGAAACATTGATAAAATTTAAACCACATATAGATCCCCACACACTAATAGTGGGAGACTTCAACACCCCACTCTCAACAAAGGACAGGTCAACAAAACAGAAATTAAACAAAGAAACAATATCTCTGACAGAGGTCATGAATCAAATAGACTTCACAGACATTTACAGAACTTTACACCCAAACACAAAAGAATTTACCTTCTTCTCAGCACCTCATGGAACCTTCTCCAAAATAGACCATATAGTTGGTCACAAAGCAAGCCTCAACAGATACAAGAAGACTGAAATAATCCCTTGTATCCTGTCTGATCACCATGGAATAAAGCTGGACTTCAACAACAACAGAAATAGCAAAAAGCCTACACACACATAGAAACTG